AGTGTTTTGAGATCGGAGCGGTGGTTGGCTGGTAGCGGAGTTTATTTACTTGAATTGTCTTGTCAGTGTCCTGTAATTTCGGCCCTGACGACATCTTTCTCTTCAGGGAGTCTCGTGACGGCTCCGTTCAGCCTGACTCCAGCTCCGAGTCTCTAAGTAATTTTCTGTCCGGGAGGCGTGGAGCGCCCTGAAAGTGTGCCGTGGCCCCGGGCGGCTGCGGGGGGGCGGCTCGCGTGTGGGGAACCCTTCGCTGGTGACGTTCCCGCGGGGCCGCCGTGCAGGGCGGGGCGGGAGACTCGTTGCTTGTTGACATGTTTCTGAACGCGCTCGGCGGTCACCGTGCTGTGTCCACCCTCGCCTGCGGTTGCCGTGTGCCGCACCGCCCGGGCCACCCCGGCCCGGCCTGTTTCCGCGCCGCCCCCCTAAGGAGCCTTCGGGACCGGCGCTCCCGTCCGTGCGAAGCGCCCTTGGCGCGCTCGGAGATGGGCGCAGGGCGCCGTAATGCGCGCTTTTCACTGTGAGCACACACGTTCTTCACATTATACCAGAAACAAAGGGATATTGGGGGAAGAGAAGGCGAATCAAATTTACCGTTTAAAAACAATTTTTTCTTTTTTTAGGTTTCCAGCATTCTCGAGAGGCAGGTGCAGAGAGATTTCCCCTGTACCCTGGCCCCCTCCTGCTCGGCCGCCTTGGCTGTCAGCAGCGCCCTCCAGAGTGGTGCATTTTTTTAACAATTGGTGAACCTGTTCTGACACAGCATCACCCAGAGCCCATAGCTTTCCTGAGGGTTCACTCTTGGGCCTGGACACTCTATGGGTTTGGACAGGTGTCTCATGAATGACGTGTATCCATTATGATGGTATCATTCAGAGTATTTTCACCACCTGTAAATTCCCTGTGCTTGCTGCTCATAGCTCACCCCAGCCCAGGGAAACACCCATCTTTTTGCTCTCTCCATGTTCTGCCTTTTCCAGAGTGTCATGGATGTGTAGGTGGGATCCTACAGTATGTAGCTTTTTTAGATTGGCTTCTTTCACTTAGTAATACGCATTAAGGTTCCTTTATGTCTTTTCATGGCTTGATAGCTCATTTCTGTTTAGTGTGGAACAGTATTCCATCGTCTGGATGTACATAGTCTTCTTATCCATTCACCTTCTGAAGGACATTTCAGCTTCATTCCTTATCAAGGACAGTTTTCTCTGAGCTTGCTTCAGGCTACTACTGTTTTCATTCTGTTTCTTCAGTTATCATGCTTCATTTATTTTCCATCTTCCAGAAAGTTGTTAAATTTGTGTGTCTTTAGATGATCTCCTATGGAAGAGAAGATGATTCTCTTTTTCATTGTTGTTTTATGCCATTTTAGTTCTTTACTATTATTTTAGAGGGATCTACAGGGAAAGGATATAAATAGATATTGTTAGTCAACCAATTTTAATTTTTGGAAGCCCATATATTTAGGATTTTGATGATGGAAAAGGTATTGGGGGGCGGGGAAGATGTGAAGAAAGAGGAGAAAGAAGATGGAATAAATGCCAGAGTGAGGAAAATAGTACAAGTGAAGGTTTGGACAAAGTAGAGAATTCCTCTTCGTAGTATTATAATAGGCAGTTAACAAGTGCTTGCTCAATGAATAAATGAATAACAGATTTCTTGCATGCTCATGTTGGGGGTGAAATTACTTTGAAGGTAAGTTGTATCTGAATATATTTTAAACAAAGAAACCAGTTGACAATTTACTTTATTTTTAGGATCATCTCAAAAATGGCTACAGAAGAAGATTTTGCCAACCTCCCAGGTGATTTATATACTTATATATATTTTAAGATTACTTTTCTTACCATCTTCAGAAATTAGAATTTTTAAATGAAGAAAGGAAAAATTAGCTCTAACTAAAATAATGATTTCTGTGTCCACAAAGTATACTCATTTTAGTTATTTCATCTTAACAAACAGTAATGTAAGCAATGAATGACTTAGTGGCAGTGAGAAATGAAGTTCACCTGATGAATGATGGACCAGGGAGAGGAGAGGCAGTCTCAGTTATGACTGATGACAGCCATGGGAAAAGAAAGCACTCTATAGAATGGATTAAATGGTAATAGAAAGATGCAGCTTGTTCAGTGGCGGCTCAAAGAAAAGGTGGGTGTGATTGTAAAAGGGCAGTGGAAGCATCTATTTGGTGATGGAACTGTTCGTATCTTGACTGGTGGTGGTGTCTGAACCTAAAGATATGATAAATTCTATAGAACTAAATATATAAACACATGAGCACATGTAGAACTTGAGAAGTCTGATTAAGATTGGTGGATTGTATCAATATCAGTATCCTCGTGATAATAAAGTTTTGCAAAATGTTTTGAAATTTTGGGGAAACAAAAGTGAACAAGGGATCTCTTCTGTATTATTTACAACTGCATGTGAATTTACAATTACTTCAATACCATTTTTAATTAAAAATTTATACTGATTCATAAGCTATTGTTAAGACTAATGATATTGAATCAAAAGTGCATTTGAGAACTTGTAGAGAAAACTGTTACTTGGAGCTGTTAGGACTTGTGACCTTAGAGTCCTTATTAAAAAAGCATTTCAGGACTGAATGGATTTGTTCAAAAAGTTAATGTTTTTGTTTTGATACAGCAGTAGCCTAACACAGCTTTAGATGTGGCTTTCTGATCAAGGAGTATAATTATTAATGTAGGTAGTGACACACTACTTCACATACTTTTCTGGGAACTCTTGAACTCTCAAGTATTTGTTTTGACCTCAGATAGTAAAGGTGATACTTTCTCATTAAGTAAATTAACGATTTATAATAAGGAGATAGAGAATTTTTAAAGTAGATGGTAACCTAATTAACAAATATCTTTTAGAAATATGTTAACATTTTTCCTTCTTTCCTTCTTATTAGGGCACCTGACATTAATATGAGGCAAGACCAGAATATACTGGTAATCTTACAAGACTGCTTTGAAGATAAAAGTAAGGCTTCATTCCAAATGGACCTTGGGGGTCTGGATGGATGGAGACATAAATTTGTCATATTAATGGCAAATGCAGCAAATGTGTTTCAGCATTTAAATATTGCAAAATATTTTCCCAGGGAGTTTGAGTAAATGTGCAATTCTTCATGTATCTTCTGGTATCCTGAGGATAATACTGACAAAAATGAGAACAATTGTCATTCTTTTTAATTTAGAGTAGATTCTTATAGTCTGGAAATTCATAATTATCATACACAAAGGTAAGTATTTCATGTAATAGAAATAGATGTACAGAATTATTGGGGTCATTGGAGAGCTTGAAATAATGTTCGGTTATTTGTACCAGTTTCTAAAGAAATGGCGAATGATGGCAAAAGCTTTTCTAAGTACTGGTCAGCGTCCGAAGGTATTGGAATGAGAAAAGAGGCCAATCAAAGAAATAAACACAGATAATGGAAAAATATCTTCTGTACAAGCTCTGAAAGAGCTGGCACATATTTCTTCAGCATCTTGTTTGTCTTTAGTTCCTGATGCCTTCTATGAATATTTGAATATTGAATTGTTGTCTGTACTTCATTTAAGCTAATTGTGTTAAAGAGTCAACAGACGTCCTTATGTGTCATATAAGGCTGCTTTTAATTGTAACCAAAATATTTTATACTGTATTTCATTTTTAAAAATTTCTTACTTCATTTTTAGGTCTTGCCAATGAGTTTAGCACAAATTCTACAAAATCAGTGCTTTGTTCAACACCTAAAATAAAAGACACTTGTCTTCAGTCACCAAGCAGAGAGGTAAGTCACAAAGAAAAACTGGTACAGGTTTAATATTTTAATGAGTGAAATAATACACAATGTATTTAAGTACATTTTAGTTGTTTATAAGTCTTATTATTATTTTTTATTAATAATATTGATTTCAGAGAGAGGAAGGGAGAGGGAGAGAGAGAGAGAGAGAGAAACATCAATGATGAGAGAGTCATTGATGGGCTACCTCCTGCACACCCTCTACTGGGGATTGAGCTGGCAATCTGGGTATGCGCACTGACCAGGAATCGAACCTCCATCTCCTGGATCATAGGTCAATGCTCAACTGCTGAGCCATGCTGGTTAGGCGATCTCTCTATTCTTGTACTTGTTTTTGGGGGCATCTCTCTACCCTTAGGCTTGTCACATAGGTGTGTGGTTTTCTTTATTATCCAGGGAAGTCCCTTCTCTTTTTTCCTGTATTGCAGCTCACATTTTTTGGATCTCAGGTCTTCCTTTTTCTTGCCCTCTGCTTTTTTTGGTAGGGCTCTTTTTTTAGTAGCTTCCTGAGAATTTAAGACCTTAAATATTTGAAAAGCATGATTTTACCCTCATGATGGGTAATTTGGATGAGTACAGAATTCTGAATTGGAAATTATTTTCCTTCAGATTTATTTTTTATTTATTTTTTTAAATATATCTTTATTGATTTCAGAGAGGAAAGGAGAGGGAGAGAGAGATAGAAACATCAATGATGAGAGAGTCATTGATGGGCTACCTCCTGCACACCCTCTACTGGGGATTGAGCTGGCAATCTGGGTATGCGCACTGACCAGGAATCGAACCTCCATCTCCTGGATCATAGGTCAATGCTCAACTGCTGAGCCATGCTGGTTAGGCGATCTCTCTATTCTTGTACTTGTTTTTGGGGGCATCTCTCTACCCTTAGGCTTGTCACATAGGTGTGTGGTTTTCTTTATTATCCAGGGAAGTCCCTTCTCTTTTTTCCTGTATTGCAGCTCACATTTTTTGGATCTCAGGTCTTCCTTTTTCTTGCCCTCTGCTTTTTTTGGTAGGGCTCTTTTTTTAGTAGCTTCCTGAGAATTTAAGACCTTAAATATTTGAAAAGCATGATTTTACCCTCATGATGGGTAATTTGGATGAGTACAGAATTCTGAATTGGAAATTATTTTCCTTCAGATTTATTTTTTATTTATTTTTTTAAATATATCTTTATTGATTTCAGAGAGGAAAGGAGAGGGAGAGAGAGATAGAAACATCAATGATGAGAGAGTCATTGATCGGCTGCAGCCCGCAACCCGGGCATGTGTCCCGGCTGGGAATCAAATCCTGATCTCCTGGATCCTAGGTTGATGCTCAACCGCTGAGCCACGCCCGGTGGGGCTTTCCTTCAGATTTTTAAGGACATGTTTTATTTTCTCTTAGCTCCTTGTGTTGAGAATATCATTCTGATTCTTTGATTTTTTGTGACTATTTTTGTCTTTGCAAGCTTGTAGGATCTTATCTGTCTTTAATTATCTGAAATTTCATGTTAGTCCTTGATTTTATATTCCCCTAACCTTTTTTAAAAAAATTTCTTTTTACTATTTATGTTTCCTACAAGTACTACAAGTACCTTTTTTGCTTACCTTGCACGTTGCCTTTTATATTAGAGCCCTTTGTCAGAGGTCCAGTGATCCTTGGCTGTCTCCGCATTAAAGAGTGGGAAACAAAAATCGCAATTGGAAGCTCTATTTGCATAGTAAAATTTGTACATTGGTAGAATTTCACTGTTGTATGATCAGTCTGGGCCATGTCATTGTGGATGCCTGGGTATTAATATCTGCAGGGGTTTTTTCTCTTGGCTTGGTAGGTTTTTCTGACAAATATTCTTTTGTTTGGAGGTCTGATTCTAACAGCAAGTGTTCTCAGCCAGGGTGAGCAAAGGGAAGGTGCAATTTGAAATTTTCCACTTAATATCTGTTTTTAGTGTATGACTCTTACCTTCAGCTGTTTCTCATGCCACTGGTTCATAGCCTATCTGATTGTGAAACATCTAATCTTCTGTTAGGGTTGGGAGAGGAGAGAGAGACTGTGATTCTTACTACTTCCTATACATCCTTTTAATAACTCTTCTGTTTGCAGCCCCCACCTGGACCCCTCTGTTATAGGTGCCTTGTACCTCTAATTACTGATTTTATGGGTTTCTTCATGAATATAAATCTGTCTGCTTCTCGTCGTTCTCCATGGCTGGCATGTTTCTGCTCTCTGTTCTCTCTGGGCTGATTAGTTTCTACTGGCTTGTTTTCCAACTTTAAAAAACTTGTTGACATCTCATGTACTCCCTCCTCTTTCCCTTCATCCTCCTGGGTTTATACATTCTATTTATTTATTTATATTTATTATTTTCTTTCTGTATTTTTATTTTTAAAAACATATCTTTATTGATTTCAGAGAGAGGAAAGGAGAGGGAGAGAGAGATAGAAACATCAATAATGAGAGAGTCATTGATTGAGCCCATAACCCGGGCATGTGCCCTGACCAGGAATTGAACCCCGATCGCCTGGATCCTAGGTCAATGCTCAACCGCTGAGCCACGCCCGACCAGGCTTTACTTTATTTTTTTAATCAGCATTTATCCCTCTATATCCTGTTTCACCCCCATCCACCCCCCACTCCCCTGGGTTTATACATGTAAAAAAAACCCTTAATGAGGTTTCAAGAGGGAGCAGAGTATAATGAAAATTTGTTTTCCTTTTTTTATGTGGTTGAGTTCCATAGTGTCTCCACTAAACAGTAGTGCAGTGGCTCTCTTGTTTATATATTCCTCTCTCAGTATTTTTAGGTTGTTTTCATCTATTCATTATCACAGTGATGTAGTGAACATCTTTGTTCATGCTTCTTTGTGCAGGTTGTAAACTGAATTTCTCTAGGGTATGCACATTTGAAGTGAAATTGTTAAATACTGTCAATTTTTTCTACACGGTAGTTTACTAGTTTTCTTTCCCACTTGCAATAAGTGAAAGAGATGTCCTTTTCCTAGATTTTTAAAATTTATGACTTGATATATTTCACACTTGCCAAACAAAATATGTATTGTATGTAAGGTATTAAAAATAATATAAGTGGACACTGTGTACCCATCCCTTAGTGTAAGAAACAGCAATATTTTTGAAGCATCTATATGCTTCTAAAAACATCTGTGTTCTGCTTTTCCTCTCTGCACACAGGTAACCGCTATCTTGAATTTCAGCTGCATCATTCCCATCCTTTATAGTTTTTACCACATATGGTGTTTGCAGACATTTGTACTTCTTCCACTACTTGTTACAGGTCCCACTACCATCCACATGTTGGGCGCTTCACTATAAGGACTCATGAGATTCACCTTATAGTTGTACTCGTGACTGAGGTTTAGTAGAGCCACATAGTCAGGATATGCAGCCAGATCAGTGAGGGAAGAAGATGCATCAGGCAGAATCTGAAGAAATCCATGTCCCTCTTCCTGTGCTCCCCAAAAGAGCCACATGCAGGGTGTTCATTGCCGTCAGTAGTAAATGCACTAAAACATGTACAGTCTTTCTGCCTAGGGAAGCCTTTTGAGACTTAGCCCATTTTTATTGGTAACAGGTTACACAGGTACCTCTCCCCACCAAAATTTTATACTCCTTGAAGCAAAAAAAAGGCAGGCGTTCATCATAAATTAGATGGTTTATACAATAGTCTAGGCAGGCTGGCATAATTAGGCACAACCTCATCATTTGGCAATGGAGGAAATATTCTGAAAGTGATAAGCCCCCAGGTGCCAACCAAGGGTTAGCCCTGTAAGCTGGCCCTTTAAACGAGTATGCCTGCTATGTTAACTGCTTCTTGCATAAAGTCAGCCTCTCTAAATACTATATGTATATATGGCTTAACATGGTTTTGCATCGGTTTGAACTGTATACAAATGGGATTATTATGTACTTTTGCCACTTGCCTTTTTGATCTCATTTTTTTATGTTGCTGTAATTTATTCATTTCACTCTTGTATGTTATATGACTCTACCATAATTTATTTAGCCAGTCTTCTGTCAGAATAGGTTTTTGCTGTTTAGAGCAGCATTGTTTCTGTGAATAGATTATATGAAATTTTAACTTTACTAGATAATGCAAAATTGTTTTCTAAAGTAGTTATTTAAGTATGCAACTCTACCGGCTGGTTTACTATTTTTAAATACTTGTTTTTTCCCCAATTTATTTATTTATTTTTTTAAATATGTCTTTATTGATTTCAGAGAGAGGAAGGGAGAGGGAGAGAGAGAGATAGAAACATCAATGATGAGAGAGTCACTGATCGGCTGCCTCCTGCACTCCCCCGACCGGGGACCAAGCCTGCAACCCGGGCACGTGCCCCGACCGGGAATTGAACCCCGATCACCTGGATCCTAGGTCGATGCTCAACCGCTGAGCCACGCCCGGCCGGGCTTTTTTCCAATTTAAAAACAAATGTGTTTAATCAAAATTGGTAATTTAATAGAGTAGATCTAATGTTGTATTCATTTTAGGCTCAGTGCCAGATGTCACATTCAAAGTCAGTTCCAGTTTCTTCAAGACAGAAAGGAGCCTTTCAGCAGTTAACTATAGAACCAATTGAAGCTGTCAACAAATCAGGTTGGTGGTATGCCCACGGGTGTTACTTGCCTAGATTTATATATTTACATATTTATTTATCTGTTTATTGAATTTATTGGGATGACATTTGTTAATAAAATTATATAGGTTTCAGTTGTACAATTCTATAATACATTAGATATATATAAAAAGTTAGAAAAGCTGAAGGTGGTGCATGTGTTGGCTAGATTGACAAGGTCATGGCCATTCTAGGCAGAATTGTGAAATGAAGTTGTTTTTGATTCCCTCTCAAGTTATTTTTAGTGTTTTGTTTTTTTAAACATGAATAATAGTAAGTTTTGTGTGATTATTTGTTTATTTTAGTGGTAGGAACATTGCTTACTAGGATGTGGTAAGAGACATTAACTAAATAAGAATTATTATGGGGACTATATAGCTTTAGTACTTTTCAAATAGAGTTTTATTTTAAACCAGCAATAAGTATATTTTTTCTATCTCACATTTTCTGTGTCAGGAATTCAGTGCACCCTAGTTAGATGGTTCTGACATAAAAACCTTTTATGAGGTGGTTGTCAAGAAGTTGGCCAGGGTTTAATCATCTGAAGGCTTAACTGGGGCTGTATATCTCTAAGATAACTCACTCATGTGGCCTGGTTGCCAGCAGGAAGACTTAATTTTTTTCCATGTGGGCATTTCCATGGGCTTCTTGAGCATCATTTATTTATTTATTTTTTTGACTTGTGGCATTATATTAGCTTCAGACGTACATCATAATCATTCGTTCTTCCTATATACATAGTTCACTGTTCTTTTTAAGTTTTCTTTGTTCACATTTTTCAAATTAGAAAACTCCTTCATTTGATGTAAGAGTCAAAGATTTAAAAGACAAAGCTTCTAATCATTACTCCTATCATCCCACTGAGGTAACCTTTGAATCCTATATTACCTTCATTAGTGCACCTAAATGAAAACATAAATAAATGTGTGTTTGTGCACGTGCACACACTTTGAGAAGAGGTTTTTACAAGTTTCTTTTACACCAACAATGTAAGAAAGTACTTGTTACCTGACAGGTGATTTACTATTCTAACTATTCTACTTTTTTGTCAGTTTGATCAGCATAAAATCATCTCATTGTTACTTTAGCATTTTCATGATTATGACTGAACACCTTTTAATAAGTTTATTGACTATTTGTATTTTCTTTTATCTGAGTTGTCTGTTCATATCCTTTGCCCATCTTTTTTTCTTGTTTGTGAGAGCTCTTTGAACTGAATATCTGTAATCATTTATCAGTAAATTGTATGACAGATATTTTTCCAAATGACCCATTGACAATTACAGATTTTATTTATACTATCTTTAACCATATGATGGGTAAATTTTTTAATTTCCATTGTCAAAATGTGTGACTTTTATAGCTTTTGAGTGTCCTGTTTTAGTTAAAAGGTCTATCTTATCTAATGGTATACATAATATAGTAGGTTTGCATCTTAACATCTTTTTTTAATTTATTTATTTTTTATTTTTATTGATTTCAGAGAGAGGAAGGGAGAGGGAGACAGAGAGATAGAAACATCAATAATGAGAGAGTCATTGATCAGCTACAGCCCGCAACCCGGGCATGTGCCCTGACTGGGAATTGAACCCTGATCTCCTGGATCCTAGGTCGATGCTCAACCACTGAGCCACGCCTGGATGGGCAACATCTTTTTTTTAGTTAAAACTTTTAATCCATCTGGAATATGTTTTGGTGAATAATGTGACGTAATGTTGCAGTTTTATTTTCTTCCAGATGGTCAATTGTGCCAGGTCCATTTATTAATTAAATAATTCATTTCCTTCTGAATATACTACTTTTATCATGTGTTAAATCTCACATGTCATTCAATGTACTTTTGAATTTTGGTCTACTTGTTTATTATTATTATTATTTTTTTTTAATATATCTTTATTGATTTCAGAGAGAGGAAAGGAGAGGGAGAGAGAGAGACAGAAACATCAATGATGAGAGAGTCATCGATTGAGCCCACAACCTGGGGATGTGCCCTGACTGGGAATCGAACCCCGATCGCCTGGATCCCAGGTCGACGCTCAACCACTGAGCCACTCCCGGCCGGGCTTGTTTATTCTTAATGTCAACACAATACTGTTTTACTAATAGTTTTATAATATGTGCTGATACAAAAGCACTTATCTTTATATTTACTGTTCCCCTGCCATTATCAGGCCTTTTTTTTCCTTCCATATGAAATTTTAGTTTTCTTTCGTTTCCAGTAGAATTTTGGGATTCTAACTAGCATTGCATTTAATTGTATAGTAATTTTGTGAGTATTTACATTTTTGTGTTATTTAGATATTCTACATGAGAACATGTGTCTTACATATTTATGTCCTTCAAAAGTCTTAGTCTGAAGGACACTGTTCATAGTGTGAAAGGATAACCCACAGAATGGGAGAAAATGTTTGCCAAAGGTTTATCTAATGAGGGATTTACATTCCGAATGTATAAAGAATTCTTGCAGTCCATCAACAATAAAAATAACCCAACTAAAAAATGGGCCAAGGACTTTAATAGACATTTCTCTGATTGGCCAAAGAATGCATAAAATGATGCTCAACATTACTAGTCATTAGAGAAATGCAAATCGGAACCCCAACGAGAACCACTTTATACATACCAGGGTGGCTATTGTTAATTTTTTAAAATAAGAAAAAAGTTTTTGATGAGGATGTGGATAAATTAGAATCCTCGTGCATTGCTGGGGGTGATGTAAGATGGTGCAGCCACTGTGGAAAATAGTTTGGTAGTTTCTCAAAATATTAAATCTAGAATTGTTATGTGACCCAGCAATTCCACTCTTAGGTTTATATTCAAAATAGTTGAAGAAAATAGGGGGTCAGATACTTGTACCCCAGTGTTCATAGTAGCATTATTTACAATACTAGATGGAAACAAGTGTCTATCAACAGGTGAATGAATAAATAATGTGGTTTATATGTATAGTGGGATATTTTCAACCATAAAAAGGAATGAAGTTCTAATACATGGTATAACGTGGAAGAACCTTGGAAACATTATGCTAATAAGTGAATACAATTTTCAAGTATATTCATTTAGTGGTATAAATTTTCCTCTTAGCACTGCTACAGCTGCATCTCACAGATTTTGATGTGTTGTGTTTTCTGTTCATTTTTATTTATTTCTATATATTTTTAAATATACTTTGAGTCTTTCTTTTTAACCCATTGCTTATTTAGCAAAACAAAATAACACTTGTGTTAATCCAAGTGGTTAGGGATTGCCCTATTTTCTTTCTCTTACTGATTTCTAATCTTGATTTCTTTATAGCATAGAATACACTATGATTTCAATAATTTTAAATTTGTGAACATTTGCTTTATGACCTGGGATATTGTCTATCTTTATGGATGTTTCATGGACACTTGAAAAAATATATTCTGTTGTTGAGTGTGCTTGTCTATAAAAGTCAATTTTAACGTATTACTAATTTTTATACATTGCTGGATGTGATTTGCTAAAATTTTATTGAGAATTTTTTGCACATAAGTTAATAAGAGATACTCATCTGTGGTTTTCTTTTTTATGCTATATTTGTATGGTTTTAGTATGAAGGTAATGTTCATGTTATAAAAAAAAGAGTTGGAAATTATTCCTTCTAATTTCTGGAAGGGATTGAGTAAAGTTGGTTTTAATTTTTCTTTGAATGTTTGGTATAACATTTTCCATGACAGCATCTGGTCTATGAGATTTCTTTTTCAAGAGCTTTTAAGTTAGAAATTCAATCCTTTAATAATAGTTATAGGACTATTTAGAGTATTTATTTAGTCTTGACAGAATTTTGATAGTTTGTGGTTTTTGAGGAATTGCTTCATTTCTTCTAAATTGTTGAGTTTATGAGCATAAAATTGTTTGTAGTATTTCCTTATTGTCCTTTTTAAAAGTACATATATTTTTTTATTGATATTTTTTTAGAGAGAGAGAAGGGGAAAGACAGAAACATCAATGAGAGTCATTGTTTGGCTGCCTCCTGCACTCCCCTATTGGGCATCAAGCCTGCAACCCGGGCATGTGCACTGACCAGAATCGAACTGGCAACCTCTTGGTGCATGGGTGAATGCTCAGCCACTGAACCACACCAGCCAGGCTCCTTATTGTCCTTTTAATGGCTGCAGGATCTGTTGTGATAAACACTATTTTATTCTGGATATTGGTGATTTGTGTTTTGCCTTTTTATCTTTGTCAATTTTGCTAGAGGTATATCATCTTTATTCACTTTTTTAAAGAATTAGCTTCTTCCAGTAATTTTCTGTATTTTCTTGTTTTCAGTTTTATTGATTTCTGCTCTTATTTTTTTCATTTTTCTCCTTGGTTTGGGCCTATTTTGCTCTTTTTCTAGTTTGTGAGGTAGGAACTTTATTTTATACTTTGACTTGTAATCTAATACTATTTTATTAATTTTGTGACTCAAATTGTTCTAGCTTTGGCTATTAGTAGTTATTTCCTTGGCTTCTATGCCTCTTTGACATGCCTCATTTTTGTTTTTGTCTTTGAGCACTTTCTTACCTTCTGGAACTACAGGATGCTCCAGGCTCATCTTATATATTTCCTTCCCCTATGCTAGAAACAGTCATTTCTCCAAGGAGCTAATGGTTCCTTTTACTAGAGAAATGTATTAGGAATCAAGATCTGGATGCTAGATGTGCTGTCACTCTGGGATGTTGTTGCTTTAAGACCATCTCAACTGACAGAGCAAGGTAATATATGTGATCTTAGGTCAGCATCTTTTTCCTCCACCCCTTCAGGGAGGTTGTTTTTACATATTATATCATATCATATATCAATCATAGAATGTGGCATATGTAATACCGTGTGACTTTCTAAGGTTAGGTCATAAAAGGCTATATGGCTTCTGCTTAGCTCCCTCACTTTTCTCTTAGGGTAGGACCCTCTCCTCCTCCTCTGCCCCTTTGAAACCCAGACACCCTACTATGAAGAAGCCCAAACTAGCCCATTTGCTGAGAGAGATACATAGACAGAAATACAGCCGACCTCAGATGTCAATCATGTGAATGAACAAACTTTCAGATGATTGCAGGCCCCGGACTTCATGGAACAGGGGCAAGCCATCCCCACTGTGCCCTGCCAAATTCCTGTCCCATAGTATCCATGAACATAATAATGGTTATTCTCTACAATCAAGTTATGGAGTTATTTATTATGCACACATAGTAACTAGAACAATTCCCAACTGACATGCTATTTTATTAAAATAAAATATATTTTATTCCTTTTAGTTATATTTTAAAAACTTATGTATTTTGACATCTTTCAACACAATAAAACTTTATTTTTGTTTTAAACAGTGTTTATGTTTAAACACACATCATGATCTTTGTTTTTTTTTCCTTTTTAAGAATAGTTTTTAAAAATTATGGTAAAATAACAAAATTTACCATTTTAGCCAATTTTAAGTGTACAGTTAATTACATACATTCACACTGTTGTGCAACCATTACCACCATCTGTAAAACCAAACCTCTGTACCCAAAAAGCAACCCCCCCTCCCCCAGCCTCTGAACCACCTTTCTACTTTCTGTCTCTGAATTTGACTACTGTAAGTACTTCATATGAGTGGAATAAATATTTGTCCTTTTGCAGCTGGCTTATTCCACTTAGCTAATGTCTTCAAGGTTCATGCATGTTGTAGCATGTGTCAGAATTTCCTATCTTTTTAAGACTGAATAACATTCCATAGTATGTATATACTTACCACATACTGTTTTATCCATTTATTCATTGATGGACATTTGGGTGGTTTCCACCTTTTGTCTGTTATGAATAATGCTGCTATGAACAGAGGTGTATAAATATGTCTTTCAGTCCCTGCTTTCAGTTCTTTTGGATATATACCCAAAAGATAAGTTATTGGGTCATATGGTGATTTTATTTTTAATTTTTTTGACGAACCAGCAAACTGTTTTGTTTTAACTGATCTTTATTGTTGAAAGTACTACAGATGTCCCTCTTTTTTCTCCATTGACTGCCCCACCCCAAGGCCTTTACCACGCTACTATCTGTGTCCATGGGTTATGCATATATGCACATAAATTCTTTATTTAATCTCTTCCCACTCCCCCCACCCCCCTGAGATTCATCAGTCTGTTCCATACTTTTATGTCTCTGGATCTATTTTGTTCATCAGTTTATTTTTTTGTTCATTAGATTTCACATATGAGTGAGATCATGTGATACTTGTCTTTCTCCGTCTGGCTTATTTGGCTTAGCATAATACTCTCCAGGCCCCTCCATGCTGTCTCAAAGGGTAAGAGATCCTTCTCTTTTACAGCTGTATAGTATTACATGTTGTAAATGTATCATAGCCTTTTTATCCGCTCATCTACTGATGGATGCTTAGGCTCTTTCCAGATCTTGGCTATTGTAAATTGTGCTGCTATGAACATAGGGGTGCATATATTCTTTCTGATTGGTGTTTTGGGTTTTTTAGGATATGTTTCTGTAAGTGGGATCACTGGGTCAAATGGCAGTTCCATATTTAATTTTTTTTTAAATATGTCTTTATTGATTTCAGAGAGAGGAAGGGAGAGGGAGAGAGAAAGAGAGAAACATCAATGATGAGAGAGTCATTGGTCAGCTGCTTTCTGCATGCCCTTTACTGGAGATTGAGCCGTGGGCTTTGTGCCCTGACTGGGAATTGACCTGCAGTCTTCTGGATCATAGGTTGATGCTCAACCGCTGAGTCACTGAGGCTGGTTCCATACTTAATTTTTTGAGGAAGCTCCATACTATTTTCCATAGTGGCTGCAGTAGTCTGCATTCCCACCAGCAGTGTACTAGGGTTCCCTTTTCTCCACATCCTTGCCAGTACTTGTCATTTGTTGATGTGTTGATGGCAGCCATTCTGACAGGTCTAAGGTGATACCTCATTGTCATTTTAATTTGCATCTCTCTGATGATTAGTGACTTTGAGCATTTTTTCATATGCCTTTTGGCCATCCATATGTTCACTTTGAAGAAGCATCTATTTAGGTCCTTTGCCCATTTTTTAATTGAATTGTTTGTCTTCCTTGTGTTAAGATTTTGGATATTAACCCTTTATCAGATGTATCATTGGCAGATGTTCTCCCATATAGTGGGCTCCCTTTTCATTTTGTTGATGGTTTCTTTCGCTGTGCAGAAGCTTTTTATTTTGATGTAGTGCATTTGTTTATTTTTTCCTTTGTTTCCCTTGCCCTAGGAGATGTGTTGGTAAACATAGTGTTATGAGAGATGTCTGAGATTTTGCTGCCTATGGTTTCTTTTAGGATTTTTATGGTTTCACAACATATTTAAGTTTTTCATACATTTTGAGTTTATTCTTGTGTATGGTGTAAGTTGGCGGTCTAGTTTTATTTTTTTCATATACCTGTCCAATTTTCCCAACACCATTTATGGAAAAGACTTGCCTTTACTCCATTGTATGCTCTTGCCTCCATTCCCACCAGCAGTGCACAAAGATTCCAGTTTCTCTACATCCTTACCGACACTATTTTCTGTTCTGTTTTGTTTTTGATAATAGCCATTTCAATGGGTATGAAGTAGTGTCTCATTGTGGTTTTGATTTGTTCATCATTCTTGTCATAGGGTAATTTTAAGTTAAAACAACATTTAGATGCCACTGCACACCTATAAGTGGTGAAAATCCAAAAAACTGGCCCTTTTTTGTAACTCCTATATCTTTAGGAGTTTTGTGTTTTCATTTATTTGAAGAGAATTGATAAGTGATTGTTAAAACATTTTTTATGATGACTGCTTTAAAATTCTTGTTAAATAGTTACAACATCTGATTCCTCTCTGTCATTTGTGTTTACTGATTATATTTTCTTGCTCAAGTTGTGTGTTTTTCTGGTTTTTGGTACGATGAGTCATTTTGAATGTATCTTTGACATTTTCGTTATTATATTAGTGGACAACTTTTGTTGTAGCACATAGTTGCCCTGTTTTGCTTTAATGTATACTTGCCTACTTTTGTGTATTTTATTTCCAGTGACAGTTAAGTGTTTAGTGTCCTAGCAGTGGTATTTTGGTCTGTTTAATTTTCTGATAATGCTGTGATTCCATCTCAGTTCTTGCTGGTGCTGTGTGGGTGGATGGAAGGTGCTTTCCTAAGCATCCTGATGTCCTTACTAACCCAAGGAAGTTGGTGTCAGAAGCTGCTGGGATTGGAACTCCATTGGTGCCCCTGTTGGAAGCAGAGTCTGGGGTTTCAGTACTATCAGTGGATCAAAACGTCACCTTGGTCTGTGAATCAGTGGCTGGGAAGGTCAGAGGCTTTACCTACTCTGCAGCTTCCTGTGGATCATACGGCCTACCATCTTTACTTGTTAAAGTGAGGAGTGGTTTGGTCCAGGGACTGGCTGGTCCCAAGCCTTGCTCCTCCCCTGCTGCTGTCCCATAGTACTTATGGAGCAGGTCCTGGCGCTGCTTAAGGCTTTGGCTGCCCTGCCACTTCTGTGGAGTGGAGTGCTCCAAGGCCTGGGTTGTGGGGTGGGAATTGGAGCTTTCCATTATATCTCTGAGTGTTTCCCTTCTCTAAATCTTTTGACCAGAGAATGCAGGTTCCCCACCCCATCTCCCCTTACCTATTGGCTATTCTGGGTTGCAGGCCTCTCTGGAGCCCAGTATGAGGGTGTGTGTG